GAGTAGGCATAAATGGCTCTTTTTCTGAGTGGCAGCCAATATTTAGTTGGGCATTAGAGATTGGTGCTTGGACACCAGCTATTGACAATACATAGAAATGATTTAGACAGGGGAACTAAATGCAACATCTCCAAGTTTGTAGATGACAGAATGCTGGGTGGGAGAGTGAACTGTGACCAGGATGCGGAAATACTTCAATACGATTTGGAAATGTTGAGTGTGTGGGCAAGTGCATGGCAGATGAAATACAGTGTTTACAAATATGAGATTATCTACTTTGGTGGCAAAAATAGGAAGGCAGATTATTATCTGAATGATGATAGTTTAGGAAAGGAGGAGCTGGAACAAGGCCTGGGTGTCCTTGTACACCAATCACTTAAAGTGAGCATACAGGTGCAGCAGGTGCTGAAGAAAACAAATGGTATGTTGGCCTTCATAGTAAGAATTTTGAGTACAGGAGAAGGAATGTCTTGCTGCAATTAAACAGGGCGTCAGTGAGACTGCGCCTTGAGTATTGTGGGCAGGTTTAGTCTCCTTATCTGAGGAAAAATGTTCTGGCAATGGAGGGAGTACAACAAAGGTTTACCAGGCTGATTACCAGGAATGGTATGACGTTGCCCAGTTGTAGGAAGGATATTATCAAGCCAGAGAGATTTCAGGAGAGATTTAGCAGGATGTTGCCCATATGGAATGTTTGAGTTATAAACAAAGGCTAGATAGGCTGGGACATTTTTCACTGGAGCGTAGGAGGTTGAGAGAGGACCTTAGAGAAGTTTATAAAATAATGAGGGGTATAGATAGAGTTAATGGTAGCTATTTTTTTCCTATGATGGGCGATTTCAAAACTAGGGGGCATATTATTAATGTGAGAGGAGAGATATTTAAAAAGACATGAGAGGCAAATTTTATACACGGAGTGTGGTTCGTGTGTGGAATGAACTTCCTGAGGAAGTGATGGATGTGGGTGCAATTACAACATTTAAAAAACATTTGAATTAAGTACATGAATAGGAAGGCTTTGGAGGGATATGGGCTGGGAACAGGCAGGTGGGACTAGCTTAGTTTGGGATTATGTTTGGCATGGATTGGTTGGACCGAAGGGTCTGTTTCCGTGCTGTGTGATGCTATGACTCCATGACTGATATGTAACAAGAGACTGAATCAGTTAGGGCTACATTCACCAGCGTTTAGAAGAATGAAGAGGGAGCTCATAGAAATCTGTAAAATTCTAACAGGGATAGACAGGGTCAATGCAAGGCGTGTCCAGAACCAAGGGTCACAGTCTAAGAGTATGGGGTAGGCCATTTACGACTGAGATGAGGAAAAATTTCTTCCCTAAGAAAGTGATGAGCCTGTGGAATTCCCTGCCACAGAAAGGAGCTGAGGCCAAACTGTTGAATATTTTCAAGAAGAAATTAGATTACATTCTTAGGGCGAAAGCAATCAAAGAGTATGGAGAGAAAGCGTGGAACAGAGTATGGAGTGGGATCATCAGTCATGATCATGCTGAATGGCAGAGCAGCTTCAAAGGGCCAAATAGCCTATTCTTGCCCCTATTTTCTATGCTTTTATTTCTCTACCTCACTTTCATCCTTCAAAACACTTTTAAAACTTACCTGTTTGACCGTGTTTATTACATAACTCAGTATCATATTTTGCTTTTTAATGTCTCAGTAAAACACCTGTGGGGATCTCTGTATGCTTAAGGTGCTATGTAAATGCAAATAGTTATTGTTGCAATTGAATGAAAATGTTGGAAGATGTGTAACATGGGATTTCTTCACATTGAATTTTCTCTGCTCAATTCTAACTTTCTTTTCACACTTCATATGACAAACTACAGGTGCTTTCAGCAGCCACAGCCATTCATCTATCTCCACTTACCACTGACACTAAAAGTTAACCTTTGTCCCTCTCATTCATTTCAGGTGTAGAAAATGTCGATACCGCTGTGGCACTTTAGGAAATGAACAGCCTTTCTGAAGATGCAGTACCACTCATTCTGACTTTGGCAAGCACCAGCACAGTCTCTGTCACCATATGTACCTTAGAGAGTAGGCCGGAGAAGGGATCTTCACAAGGGGAATACTGGACACAAGTGTGCAATAGGATAGGGTGCCAGGGATACAACTTCATGGGTTGATGATACTTTATCGTTGCCCAGCCATGGAGGACTGAAAAATTGACTTTGAAATCCCAGGCTGTCAAAGCAAAATCACGCCAATGACGAGGAAATGTAATGCACTTTAGCCTTCCAGTGAGCTTGTGGGCAATGGCTAAGAGCATGAAGGAAGTCAGCTTCAATTTGTGTCAGGGCTTCACGCACAGCATGAAGCCAATGTTCCCTGGAGTTAAAAACATTCATAATCTGCTTGAGGCGCCAGTGTAAAGCAAATTGTGAAATGTTGCTTAGTGTCATTTGCTGCAGCCTGGAAGAGCCCCATAAAAGCTAAAGATCTTGGCGACATTAGCAACCACTGACAGTGCTGTCCATTCCCACTATGGTGTTCCAGTTAAGGCTGCTGCTGGTAATAGAAGTCTATTACAATCTCTGTTGAAGTAAAGGTGTCTTGTATATTACTTCACAGTCAGATTGGTGTTGGAAAGTGCCCGTTGAACGCTACCTATGACTTCAGCCTCCTGCACAATGTCATCCTCCTCCTCCCACTTCTCTGAACTGCTCCTATTCAATCTGGTCCTCTTTCATCACATTCCTTCCTCCAGCGACAAGGGCAGATTTACAAACCATTCATGGATCAAATGAAACATTTGCAAGAAAGACAAGAGCATTCAACAGCATAAAAGTGCTCCCAGATATTACAAGCCATTAAAGAAATAGAGAAAATAACCAAAAAAAGGCTGAGAGGCTAACCAGCAGACTACCAGGACAAAACAAACATTAATCTGCATTGAGGTGATGAGCCCTTCAAATATCACTCCTGTGGATTCTTGTTTGCTGTTGTACCATGAGTTGCGGGGCAAGTTTATAACATGATGGGCCAGGTATTACTCTGACCAACTCCATAAGAAAGAGTCCCACAATTAGCACAGGACCCTCATTCAATTTAATAATGAGTGCTTTGACATCTATTGGAACACCAATCCAGCGTATGATGGATGATCTGTGCATTACCCACCAGCTAGGGTTTTAGGTGCTCCTTTAATTTTTAAGGTTTTAGCAAAGATTTGTAGCTCGGATTATGAGTGAGGTTGTTGACTTGCTTGCGGAGCTGGCTTGTTTTCATTCAGACGTTTCATCACCATGCTAGTTAATATCATCAGTGAGGCTTCCGATGAAGCGATGATGTTCTACTCCGCTTGGAATTTATACTGTGCGGTCTGTATGGTAAGTAGTGTCAGTTCCGGTTTTGCTCTATATGTGTTTGTATATGGGGCCCAATTCTATATGTTTGTTGATTGTATTATGGGTTGAGAATCATGCCTGGTTGAGAACCGTAACTGGGACAAGGTAACCATAATAGACCAAGCTAAACATAGACACGCAAGGAATTCCTAGAGGCATGGTTCTCAACCCATAATGCAATCAACAAACATATAGAATTGGACCCCATATACAAACCCATACAGAACGAAACTGGAAATGACACAACTCACTATAACGGATCGGACAGTATAAATTCCAAGTGGAGTAGAACAACATCACTTCATCGGAGGCCTCACTGATGATGTTACCTAGGATGGTGGCGAAACATCTGAATGAAAACAAGCCAGCTCGGTGAGCAAGTCAACAACCTGCTCCTTTAGTTCTTTAACTGGTGAGTTCAATTTCAATTTCAAAGCCTATTGATCCTCTTAACATTTATTGGCTGATATCCAATTAACACTTATTTACAAATATTCTTGTCTCAGATGTTGTGATACTAATAAAGAATCCTAAACCCAAAGTTGTTCTGAATGATGAGCTACACAAAAGTAGAGTCATAGAGTCACAGAGCTGTACAGCGCAGAAACAAACCCTTCGGTCCAACTCGCCATGCTGACCAGATATCCTAAATTAATCTAGTCCTATTTGCCAGCATTTGGCCCATATCCCTCTAAACCCTTCCTATTCATGTACCCATCCAGATGCCTTTTAAATATTGTTATTATACCAGCCTCCACCACTTCCTCTGGCAGCTCATTCATACTTGAACCCCCTCTGCATGAAAAAGTTGCCCCTCAGATCCCTTTTAAATCTTTCCCCTATCACCTTAAACCTATGCCCTCTAGTTTTGGACTCCCCACCCCTGGGGAAAAGACCTTGGCTAATCACCCCATCCATGTCCCTCATGATTTTATAAAAGTTTATAAGGTCACCCCTCAGCCTCCAATGCTAATAGAACTTATTACATTTTCAGTACTTCCCAGCAATACACACAGAAATGATCATTGTTTAAAGGAGGTGAAATATTGTCAATTATTACTAGCTATTAAATAATACCAATTACTTCTTTGATCACATGGACAGTTGTGAGAAATCTATTTTGTGTTCCTTACTTATTTTGGGAAATTATGTACTCAGATCAAGTCTTTTGACCATTAAAATATTCAGGGCAATCTCACTGAAATGTATTTTTCCAGAACCATTTTACATTTTAAATTTATTAGCTGTTATGTTAAGTATTATTATCAAGAATAATCAAAAGCAGACAATTAATCTCTTTATGAGTGCTGACCAGATCAATAAATTGCTCACTTTCAACAGGATATTTGTGTCACAAGCCTCTACTTTAATGGGATTTGCCTGCACATAAAAAAATAAACATAATATAGCACAACTATGAATGAAACATTGACTAACATAATAAAAATCTAGCAGAATGAATTTTAGTGCAACTTTAGATTTCTGAATTATGTGAACAAATACATGCACATACAAATGAACTTGTTGCATTATTGATAAAATATAGCAAAAGTGCATATAATTTTTTAAACACAATATAAAGTAGTTCTGTTCATTTTTAATTTTAAGTATATTCATGCCTGTTATTTGTCCTTAGGAACGATTGAGTTTTATTGGCCCTGAAGAATTTGTACAAGCATTTGTACACAAGGATTCTTTGGAAAACCCAAAGGTACAACTTCACAGATATTTTGTGTACAAAGTACTTTCTCTCTCAATATTGTATTCATGTTATTCAGTTCACAAGACAAGCTATTATTTCATTCTATATGATTTATGTGCAAGGTCAGTCACAGCACTATTTCTTGTACACGATATTCTCCTGTAAAATATATCCAGCATTTTTCAGCACAAAAACTTAAAAAGAAACTAGAAAGCAAGTATTATCATTATACCACCTAGTGGTCTATTTGAGAAGTCAGAGTCGTAGAATCCCTACAGTGTGGAAACAGGTCCTTCGGCCTAACAAGGCCACACTGACCCTCCAAAGATCATTCCACACAGACCCATGCCCCTGACCTTTTCCCTGTAACACTACATTTCCCATGGCTAACACACCTAATCTACACATCCCTGAACACTATGGGCAATTTATCATGGCCAATTCACCTAGCCTGCACATCTTTGGACTGTGGGAGGAAACCGGAGCACCTGGAGGAAACCCACGCAGACACAGGGGGAATGTGCAAACTCCACACAGACAGTCGGCTGAGAATGAAATCGAACCCGGGTCCCTGGAGCTGTGAGGCACATTAGCATTGAATACATTGGTAGTCTTAAGTAAAGATACTTGAATCCAAATTTGATTGGAAGTCAGATTTGGATCTCTGTTTTTCAAAGTCAAATTCTGATTTTTGTTTTGACAGTATCATCGGTGTTTGCTTGTCTACTGCCCATTAGACAAGCAAAATTAGCATCCAAAACTTAAATTATTTTTGAGCTGCTCAAATATACAGGCAGTGCTCTATTTCATATTGAAAAGTCCTAGAAAAGGAAATTAATCAAAACATGCATGGCATTGATGTCTGCACTATTTATTAAAAATTTTATGTGCTGTGCACCACAGCGCAAGATAGAAAGCTGATTAGAATTGAAGGTGACAACTTAATGTTTTAATCACCTCATGTATTGCCATTCTAAAATTGATCTACTTGATCATATCTTACAGCTACTAGCTGAGGAGTCAGGAGAAACATTTATTCATATATCTTGGATAAATATAGCTCGTTGTTATTGTATGTGCCATACCAGCATTGGATTGGTCACAAAAATCTGCAAGACTGCTACATGTGAGCTGTTTTAGTATTGCATTTAATTGTCAAAAATGTAAATTTTTCATTTATTGGTGTAGCGGTATATCATTTCTCATAGTGCATTATTCAGAAGACATTGGCCCAGGCTTTGCATTCAGAACAACTGTGAGGCTAACAGTGCTCACCATTATTCTGGATTAAAGCAGGCAGCTACTTCCAGAGCCAAAAACAGAAGTTGCTGGAAAAGTTCAGCAGGTCTGGCAGCATCTGTGAAGAGAAATCAGAATTAACGTTTCAGGTCCGGTGACCCTTCCGCTGAACTAGCAGCAATTTCCAGAGTATGCATGTGTAGTTAAACATGTGAGGTAGTTATCCCTCTCTCCAAACAGGCTGTTCAAAAATTGTCCCAAGGTGAAACCATGTCTACAAATGGTACACCAGTGATTGAAGTTGTGGATCCATCATCTTCAATCCTAGCACAGCTCTTTAGACAATCAGCTCCACTTGTCTCAATGAAGATTTTTCTATCAGATTGTTTGAAAAGTCTTACTGATCTCTGTCCTGTTTAGAGATTCTGCAGATCTCCACAGAAGGTAGCGTGTTGGATCAGATGCCTGATTACTGCAAGCCTACACTATAGGCTATCACACCTTTGTGTAACTGCCTGCTTAGTGAATGGCAATTGTTGTTTCTTCACTACAGACAACAAAATCTAAGTCAATCAGTTTATCATTACCCCTGCATCATTTCATGATAAATGCTTAATTTTTTCCTTCTTTATCTAAAGTCTTGCTTCAGTGACCAAAAGAAAACAAACAATCTTGAAGCCTATGTCAAATGGTTCAACAGACTCTGCTATTTAGTAGCTACTGAAATATGTATGGTAAGTGCCTTTTTATACTGTATTGCACATTTATTGTTTGATAATACTCGGTTCAAATTTTTTAAAATAATTCCACAACTTATTGTATGGTATTGCACTTTTTTATAATTGGAAATTAGTTTAATGTTTGTTTAATTGCAGCCTGCGAAGAAGAAACACAGAGCACAAGTGATAGAATTTTTTATTGATGTTGCTCGAGAATGCTTTAATATTGGTAACTTCAATTCCTTGATGGCAATTATATGTAAGTATGACTTAGCTCCTTTTTAAAAAGAAAGATATATGGATATTGAATTAAACAATTCAAGATGAATACAGACACACAGTTGAATATTTTATTCCTTTACACTTAGTTTTGTGATTTAAGACATTTACCATAGAATCTCTACAGTGTGGACACAGGCCCTTTGGCCCAACAAGTCCACATTGACCCTTGGAGCATCCCACCCAGAACCATCCCCTTATAACCCACCGAAGCCACACATCCTTGAGCACTATGGGCAATTTAGCATGGCCAATCCACCTAACCTGTGCATCTCTGGACTGTGGGAGGAAACCCACATAGACACAGGGAGAATGTGCAAACTCCACACAGACAGTTGCCTCAGGGTGGAGTTGAACCCAGGTCCCTGGTGCTGTGAGGCAACAGTGCTAACCACTGAGCTACTGTGCTGCCCTATTGTTCTTTTCTCCGAGTGCATAAGAGTGCTTCAGTCTGACTTCATGAAATCTGTTTTTTGGTGATACTTCAGCATATTCAAACATCTTAACAGATATAGTTAGTTTAGTTTGATCCATGTAATTATAAAGTCAAAAGCCAGTCCCTCAGGATTTTTGGTCACTACTTTTTTAAAAATCTTTAACCTGCGCAATTTGCTACAAGAATCTTTTTTCTAGAAAGTAAGGTGTCACTATTATGTTTTTGTATCCTTAGGGAAATAAGTTATATGAATTAATAAAGTGATCAACTTTGTTTTCTCTCTACAGCTGGTATGAACATGAGCCCTGTTTCTAGGTTAAAGAAGACATGGGGGAAGGTTAAAACAGCAAAATTTTACATTCTTGAGGTTAGTATCATACTGACAGAAAAATTACATTAATGTAAAATCAGCCTGTATGTTTGTTCAGCAATTCAATATAACGGCCTTTTTGAATTTATCTACAGCATCAAATGGATCCTACAGGTAACTTCTACAACTACAGAACAGCTCTACGTGGGGCAGCTCATCGGTCACTGACTGCACACAGTAACCGAGAAAAAGTAAGATTACCAATACAGTAGAATGGGACAGTTAATACAATTTTAACAAGAGTGTACCTTTACCTGCTGGACAATCATTTTAACATTTAACCATTGCATCACTGGAATATAATTGCCAAATACATTTGAGAGTCTATGGAACTGAATTGAAGAAATTCTGGTTTTAGTATTTATTATTTTCTTTTCTCATCTCGCTGCCCATGGCTCACAAACTGCTATTCAGAATGAGAAGAGAACAGACTGCAACCATTGCTGTAGCAAAGGAATGATGTGCATGCCTCAAAAGAACACCATAAATAGAAAAATGTAAAGAAAAGAGTGTAGATAGTGAGAAACTATATCGACTCACTGGAGAGTCCATAAACAGAGTCTTAAAACTTAGAGCTGCACTATTCAGGAGTGAAATTGGAAAACACTTCAAAGAACAGTCAGAGTTTGGAACTCTCCTTGCAAACGCAATTGTTGCTGGCTCAGTTGTAAATTTTGAAATTGAGATTGATAGATTTTTGTTAACCATAGGTATTAAGGGATCGGGGAAAAGATAGGTCTGTTGAGTTACTGCACAGTTCAGCATCTCATTGAATAGCAAAACAAGTTTGAGGAGCTATTTGGAATAATCTCATTCTTATGTCATCAACACCTCTTCTTCATTTCTACCTCCTTTACCACTTTGCCCTTTGCTCTGGGTGCCCTCACCATCTGTTCTACTTGGGTCTTCTCCCCCTTTGTCAACAGCATAAAATCATAATTCCCCAGCCCCTTCAATTCCAAAGAGGAGTCTTATTAGCCTCTAGTCATTAACTGTGTTTCTCTCTCCACAGATGCTGCTGGACCTATAGCATTTGTCCAACACTTTCTGTTTTTTTAACTCATTCTTTTGTCACTTTATAGACTGAGTGTTAATAATTTATTGCAAAGTTTTAAATACAAAGGTAAAATTCAAAATCTAAATTAATTTGATTTACTCAAATGTAGATTAGTTGAATATACAAACAGAAAGTGCTGGAGAAGCTCAGAGAGGGAATAAGGGGAGGAAGCAAACAAATGGAAGATAGAGTTTCTGGTCTGAAATTGTTGAACTCGATGTTGGGTCCTGAAGGCTGTAAAGTGTCTCTTTGATTTTATTATTAGATAGATTAGTCTATTAATTGCATTTGGTATGAATAATATGAACTTTGATCCCGTCTCTGCAAGCTGGTGTAACAATTTGTGGTGGGATTTGGCTTCACATAATTTTGGGATTATGCAGTGAATCCTTCAGATGTTAGTTCTCTTGGAACTTCTATGCTTATTACAATTCTTTTTCTTCCTGAGTTCTCTACCCACAAGCGAGTCCTTGACAAATATTCACCAAACCTCAGCAAAGTGCCATGATTTTTTTCCTATGGGTAGGTTGAGGAGGCAGATCCCATGCCTACTTCAGCCAGAAATGGGATCAAACTCATATGCTGTTGGTGTTAAGCTGATCCACACACTAGTCTCTTGTCAACTGAGCCGACTATCTCTGCATTTATTACAGTAGCGAAGTTAACAGCAAATAATAGTTCAATTTCCTTCTTATGAAAAGAAACATAAATGAAAAGCTAGGATTGAAAAAAATTCTTGTTCTCTTGTAGATTGTTATCCCTTTCTTCAGCCTGCTGATCAAAGACATTTACTTCCTAAATGAGGGATGTGCAAATCGTCTTCCTAATGGTCATGTGAATTTTGAGGTAGGTATCACAAATGTCACCAGATCTTGTATAGTTCTAACAAATGTCCAGTAAACAATGAAGCGACAAAATATAATTGGAATCTTTTGAAGACTGATTCTCACTTGATGCTTACTTTTACAAAGATTAAGGTACAGTTATACAGAAGCATCTCATTTCATCCGGTACAAACTCTGAGGTTTTCTCAGTGTTCACTGTGCAGCATTGTTAGTGCAAGTTGCCAACTCTGATGTATTCCAGGAGGTTTTATATAATGACTCTCACTTCCAGCTGTGCATTTCCAAGTTGCACAAGGTGTGTTAAAATAAGATCGATTGAAATAGAGGGAAAGGGCTTATGTCAAGATCACTCATCCGTATTGTGTTCATACCTAATAAAGGAACTATTTAGCTCTGTCATATCAGTGTTGGCTCTCTTTAACATTTACTCAGCTAGTCCCACTCCCCTGGTATAGTCCTGTATGTTTTTATCATTTAAATCATTTTCAAATTTCTTTTTGAAAATCAGGCTTGAATTACCTCCTAAACTCTTGAAAGCAGTGCATTCCATATCCTCATCATTCATTGTAATTAAATGAGGAAGGGTCAACGGACCTGAAATGTTAACTCTGATTTCTCTTCACCGATGCTACCAGATCAGCTGAGCTTTTCCAGCAATTTCTGTTTTTGCTCCTTGTACTTATGTTCAGTGGCTATTATTTGAGCAAAGGTATCTGTAACACTTTACTCCACACACCCCACAGCTCTTACCACTGTATGCTCCTAGTTTGCCAAGCACATGTTTACACATTGAAGCTTCAACACAATGTATAACCACCGAAAAGGAGGCATATTTGCTTCCTGTGAGAATGTACTGACTATTGGTTAGGAGATGGAAAACTTATGGGGCAATAGAAATGAGCTAGGAAAATTGATGCACAGAGAGATCTGGGTGTTCAGGTCCATTGTACCCTGAAGGTGGCAATGCAGGTCGATAGAGTGGTCAAGAAGGCATATGGCATGCTTTCATTCATCGGACGGGACATTGAGTACAAGAGTTGGCAGGTTATGTTACAGTTGTATAGGACTTTGGTTCGACCACATTTGGAATACTGCATACAGTTCTGGTCGCCACATTACCAAAAGGATGTGGATGCTTTGGAGAGGGTGCAAAGGAGGTTCACCAGGAAGTTGCCTGGTATGGAGGGCACTAGCTATGAAGTGAGGTTGAGTAGATTAGGATTATTTACATTAGAAAGACGATGGTTGAGGGGGGACCTGATTGAGGTCTACAAAATCATGAGAGGTATAGACAGGGTGGATAGCAAGAAGCTTTTTCCCAGATTGGGGGACTGAATTACTAGGGGTCACGATTTCAAGGTGAGAGGGGAAAAGTTTAAGGGAGATATGCGTGGAAAGTTCTTTACGCAGAGGGTGGTGGGTGCCTGGAATGCGTTACCAGCGGAAGTGGTAGAGACGGGCACGATAGCGAAATTTAAGATGCATCTAGACAGATACTTGAATAGGCAGGGAGCAGAGGGATACAGATCCTTGGAAAATAGGCGACAGGTTTAGATAGAGGATCTGGATCGGCACAGGCTTAGAGGGCCGAAGGGCCTGTTCCTGTGCTGTAATTTTCTTTATTCTTTGTTCTAGGAGAACTCTGAAGCATTTAAAGCATTAAGCTCTGAGTAATATTCACAAATATCCATGAGCAAGTCATTTGCTAAAGCTCTTGACCCAGTTTTTGTTTGGGCAAAGAAATATGAGAGAAAGAATGTTGAACATGTTAAATACCTTTATTCTAACATTTAGTTCACTGGAATTCATCATAATATGATACTGCAGCAGAAAAGGTTTTAATGAACTTTAATTCAGCTACAAGACTATTATCTAAAAGTTTACAAATTCTATTTTTTGACATTCAAAAGAAGTAAAATATTAGTGTACATTAAAGAATGTAAATTAAGCCAATTTCAAATAATCAGGTGGTGACATATTTTACTATCTAATACTGTTACTTCAATTAGTTAATACTTAAATTGTAAGAAATTGCAAGTAAGATTTTACATCTTGCCATGAAGAATAACTTTTTTTTGTCTAAATAGAAATTTTTAGAATTGGCCAAACAAGTAGGAGAATTTATGATGTGGAAACAGGTTACCTGTCCTTTTGAAGATGATCAAAATATCATTCATTATCTTCATACAGCCCCTGTCTTCTCTGAAGATGGTAAGTTTTTGGTTCATTAATCATTTGGAAAGTCATATTTATGTTACATGACTGAATTAGAATTTCAAAATGGTGGTACAGTACTCGCCTAAAGAGAGCCAATGTTGATAGTCAAATTTTGAATGATGTTTGGACTTGAATATTCCTCTGCTTTTGCATCCCAATTTTGCAGGATGTAGGTGAGTATAGCAGGAAAAGCATTATGGTTAGTATGACACAGTCTCCTCCAACCAAATCTGACCTTTCTCCTTTGACTTCTGCACAGATAATTTCCCTTCCTCATCTACCACTTACCACTTCTCAGCAAGTTGAAATCTGGACCTAGCATCGCACTGATTCATAACAGCAATATATAAAGCTGAGGTAGTCCCTGGGTAAGAGTAGGATCCCCATAGTATCCTAATGAATTGAATCATTTATTGTCAGATGTATTTAATATAAAAATACACTGAAATGCATGTAACTTCACCATACATACATAGTGTCATGCACATTAACTTAGAATAAGATGAAAAAAGATAACTTAAGAGAGTCCAACTTTCCTTTCTACTGCCGCAGTCCCACTCTGGGCTTTCCAGCCCTCACCATGCCTCCACCAGTGTCCCACTCCTGGCTTCCCAGCCCTCACCATTCCTGCACAGGCATCCTGCTCCAGGCTGCCTCACCGGCCCACTCTCGCCGGCCCACACTCGATCCACCATCGTTGCAAGACACAACCCGCACCTTCGGTTCCCACCACGTGGTTCCTGGCTGCAACCCAGGTCCTTCCCGACTCCTTCGATAGGTGGTTAAAAGGGGTGGGGGGTAATAGAATTACTACAGAGGTAGAGAGAAGAACGAGAAAAGAAAAGGAAGGACAAAGAAAGAAAGAGAACTGATGAACAGAGAGGAGCTCCGAATGGAGTGTCTTGAGGACTTTGTAGCATCCTTATCTTCCTCTATTTTGGCCCAAACATGTGCTGCTGAAGTGCTTAGCCTCTCTGCAGCACCAAAATGATGTTAGAATCTTTCAGAAATAGGCTTCTTCTTGGCCATGGAAGTCTTATCAGGAATCTGTTTGCATCTTTATTGGGTCCCACATAAATAGGTTTGGTTTAGGGGAAACAAAATGATGGTGAGATGTCATTCCCTTCCATTTGGCCACTAAAAGGAAAATTCATCCTTCAAATTTGTAGTTTGTTGTGAAATGTAGTTATATGAACAAGCAAGGGAGAGATGTTGATGTATTATTAATGTCACTGGACTAGTAATCTAGAGGCCCAGACTAATGTTCTAGGGATATGGGTTCTGATCCACCATTTGATGGAATTTTAGTTAAATGAATAAATCTGAAATTGCAAACTGGTTTCAACTGGCCTTCAGTGATTGTGGCTATGGAATTATCATTGATTGTTATGTAAACCCTTCTGGTTCACTCATATCCATTACAGAAGAAGGTCTAGTGGCCTTACCTGGTCTGGCTTGCACTTGACTCCAAACCCACGACAATGTGATTGACTATTAACTGCCCTCAGTTCAATGAAATTATTGATTGTTAACAAATATTGGCCTTGCTAGCAATGCCCACATCTCATGAAAAAATTTGATACAAATTAGGAACAGGAGTAGCCCTTTGACTCCTTCAGACAGTTTCATCATTCAATAACATCATGGCTGATCTGACTGCGCTCTCAACTTCACATTTCTGCCTATCCCCAATTGCATTTCACTCCCTTGTTAATGAATTGTGTACTATGAATCTAAGCCCGTTTTGTAAAGGACTTTGTAAAGATGAGAATTTCTATTCATCTGGACTTGATTTGAACTTATAAGTGAAAGGACAGTGTAATCACATCCATGTTTGAAGCCTGCTTTAATGATAGGAGTTAAATTTCAATTTTACATTTTGTACCATCTTTGTTTCTTTGCAGTACTACAGTTGACCTAGATTTGCTGTATAGTGGTTAAAAATTATTTTTAAATATGTTTTCTCACAACCGTTCCTGCTTTTAGAATTCAATACACAAACTTTTACATACTAATTAATTTTAATTAAACTACTCCTAAAATCATATTTTTCATTGTTCTCTATTCATGAGTTAGATTTTGTGCTTGAAAGGAGTAACAAATAAGACTAATCTATGCAACATTGATACTATACATTAACAGAATTTGCATTCTTTCCCTACACTAAGGTTTGTATTTGGCGTCATATGAAAGTGAAAGTCCAGAAAACCAGCTTGAAAAAGACAGATGGAAAACTTTAAGGTAAAATCCAATTCTAAGGTGTTTTCATATTTAAAAACCTTTCATGAACATAACGCTGTATATTTCCTACAAATGTTATGGCACTATATCAATAGAATGAAAATGTATTTTATGTATACTGCAAGTCATTGTTTATATCAAAAATGTTGTCAAGTATTTCACAATCAGAATTATTCTAAATTGAAGTCATTTATGTGAAGAACGCAATTGAAGGGTCCTATTCAGTAGATGAGATCCTTGATAATTTGGGAGTTGCATTTTCAAGATTTCATAATACTAAGTTGCAATTTACTAAATTTCTGGGTGTACCATGATCTGAATGAGTGGATTTATCTGTTAAATTTAGATACTGTTTTAGTACATTCACCTATTAAATATTCAAATACTACATCTCTCTGCAAGATGGTTTTAATGTTTTAAGTAATTCAAAAGATATAAAATACTTCCATAAATCTGATGGGATATCAGTTTTATTTCTTGTTTGTCTTTTGTTTCAGATCAACACTCTTGGGAAAGACCTGAGTATGTTGGAGTATATTCAGAATACAAATCTACTAATACCATAGCTTGCACTATTGACTTCAGAAACCAGCAGAGACCTGGGTTTTCTTGAACTTTGATGAGCAGGATTCATTAGTCAGAGTCGTACAAATGTGAAGAAGAAAAAATATTCCCTGCTTGAAACCATCTCTAAACAAGCAGTTTTTAAATTATACAGATCTTATCAATAGAAAGCTGGATAATGCTAAATTTCAGAAACTGAAATACTTTTCAGTCAGTACATGTCCTGAGACTGATTTAGATGAAGTAGATTGCAAGACACGAAAAGATTTCAAAGTAAGTACTTCCATTTTTTAACATATTCTGGGACTGGATAGTTCATGTTTTGAACTCTGCCTGAAATAGGTTTGGACATGTGAACTGAACTCAAGAAGCCAGGATTCAGGATTCACTGTGTAAAAGTAACTGCTCTTTATCTCAACTGAAAGAAATACTTCCATTTGCAGGAAGGTTCTACTAGACTGACATTCAGTTGTGTACATTACTTGGTAATTCCGTAGAGCACATATTTTGTGTTGTAATATTTTACTCAATGGGTACCTGATCTCATCATCTGCATGCATTTAAAATGTCTCATTATAGTTTGAATTACTGTGACATTTTCACTTGCTTACTTAGCAAGCTTAGATGATACAATTCATCACTAACAATATTTAAACAATATAGCAAAACATAATGTGCATTTTGTGTTATGGAAAAGATTTTGAGCTATAAAATGCTAATTGTCAGTATGCCTCGTTCATATTAAATCACAAATTAAGACAACAGATTTAAACCTGATCAATTGTAATAAAAGTGGGTGGATTCTTAACAGGTTGTAGCTATATTATCTGTGAAGTTATGTAACAGTCGTCTGTTAAATCCCTGTAAATATTATTACATGAGGTTTACATCTGGCAGATACATGATATTTCCTTCTGAATTGGGTAATTTTATTATGTAAATATGATTTTCAATTACTTATACTAATTTTAATTTATAGTAAAAAAAATTGTTGACTTCAATCTGAGTGGTCATGGTGGTAAAGAAAACGAGGAAGAACTAAGTCTATATGAAAGCTGTGTACGATCCCACAGTTATTTGAAATTTGGGAAATTAAAGCCATTGAAGATGCATGTAGTTATGACAGACATATATAATGGCATTTACTTGTTACTTAAGTACGAGATATTTTTGTAGTACATAATATTGTAAATGGTCTTACATATTAGCCAAACTAGTATCATATACCTGAAATAACAAGGTGTAGAGCTGGATGTACAAGGTGTACAGCAGGCCAAGCAGCACCAGAGGAGCAGGAAGGCTGACGTTTCGGGCCTAGACCCTTCTTCAGAAAGGCTGCTTGGCCTGCTGTGTTCATCCAGCTCTACCCCTTGTTATCTCAGATTCTCCAGCATCTGCAGTTCCTACTATCTCTGAAACTAGTATCATATACCTGTTGTCATATATATATATCATGTTGGGCACCTGTGACCTGCATCCATTTATAAGCACATGTTTCGCAAATATTTGATCATGCTTATCCCTGCACTGGAGGTGGCAAGGCAGTTGGTGAGAAGATCAAATAATTAACCCCTGAGAGATCCTTGCCATCATCTTGTCAACTCAGCCATTATGTCCTTGGTGAGAAATTTTATGGGTGAGTAGTCAATTTAAGATTTCAATTAGTCAATTAACAACCACTTAAGGGCCTCAATTCACCACCTGCCTAATTACCTGCCTTGTCAAAGACAGGCAAAGTGGCTGGTTTCCAACTGGATAAATGGGGCAATGAGCCTGCTGGTTTGAAGGAACTCTTCTATTTGCCCAAATTTGAGGCAAAGGAAGGGTAAGGACAAAAGGATGGCTGATGAATGCCCTTGCCTTTGCCTCTGATACCCCAAATGCTTGAATCCAATAGAAAAGCACTTACCTTCATGTTGTTTGAGTGCCTAAAGCTTAGACCTCCAGGACAATCTCTAAAAGCCAGAAGCTGCTGACAATTCAGAGGCTGGCAGCTTCTGGCTTCTAGAGATTTCAGTATCAAAGTTCGTTATTGTCAAGATGCTCACTGTGAGTTTTTCAGTGATCGTTTGGAGTTTGACCTGGAGGGCTTTCTCACTTGTGGAGGCAGCAAGTCAATTGCCCCAAAGACCCTTAGTTCCTCACTTAGTACATGGAGCGCTAAGTCATGACAAATTTTTGTTGTTACAAATTGCACGTCAATTACTTTAATCCAATTGGGATAACCATGATCACTCATAACTCTAGAGCAGATATCTACCTGTTCCTGAATGGTGGCAAAGCTGCTGGCTGTAGTTGGATGTGTTGCTTCACAGGTGTTTTGAGGCTTAAAATGTGTACAGTTCTCCATATTGCTCTGGTATATAATTGCATTCTGACATGTTACTCTTGAAAATCTGTTTTGTGGTCAAACGCTTCTTGTAAAAAGCCTAGAGAGCATGATTCCTTCTAAAGGTTTTTTTAATTGTATGCTTTATTTGGTTAAAAAAATTGAAATTAATGCTGTGGTATTTGAAAATTGAATTTTTATACTACTGTATGAGATTATTAATGGAAATATTGTTGATAATATTCTGGCTAATTTATCTGTGCATAGAATTTATATATTATGTGTAATTTATACTGTGTTCTAACAGTTTGGCTGAATGGTTGTCAATTTCTAATTTTTGTACCCATTGTTGTGAATGTTTTAAATTCTTCTAATAAATGATGCAAACAGTTATAACCATGATACAATTTGAAAAATGTAATTTCATCTCCTCTATTATTCACTTCATGCTTGTTTCCAAAGGTCTATAAAAATAACATTTAACAAGCAGGTTGGTAGCGTTCACTAAAGGATAGTTATCCCATCCTATGTGGATAACTCATTTTCAGAAATGTTTTGCTGCCATAGCAACAAACACAAGCCATGGTCCTGAAATTTCAAGCTTTACACTCACCTGCTGGGATTGCAATGGTGGGGGTTTGGGGCAGATCTTAGGTATGCCTTGTGAAAATGAAGAGCGTCTTGTTAAAAGTTTCAGAATTAGCTAATTTGAACAAAATTTATAGAAAATATTTCGGACTCCTCTGGCACAAATGACCTGAGTGACTGAAAAGAGGCATCTGATGGGATAAAGGAAACAATAGGTGGGAGGAAGAGAAAGAATCTAATAGACATTCAGATGGGCTGTCTTTTAGGTAAACTAAGGCTGTGAAGAAAGACACTGAAAACGGCTGCAGCAGCAACATTGAAAAATTGGGGCAATAGCTATTCATGGATCATTTCTGACCACCAGGATACTATTGCAATGAAAAAGGTTCAGTGACCTGACAATAGAAGAAGGATTAGTGCTCTAAACCCTATAATGAATCACAGAGGGAAATTGCTTGGCATGTGTTCAAGCACTTCCCTATTATAGTCTGTCCATTATACCTGCTAGAAAGAAATATGCAAGTACTTTATCACCTGAATCTATACAAGTCATTCTTCTCAACATGGGTATGTATTTTCATTGATCAGTGAAGTAATCCATGCTCTCAGGATGCAAGACGCAGATAGCATTGATCTAATAAATGGCAAGTAACATGTGTGTCACGCAAATGCTAGTTAATAGTCAGCTCCAGCAAGAGAGAATCTAATGACTACCTCAACCTTAAATGACGTGACCATTTTTAAATCTTCCACCAGCAAAGTCCAGAGACAATCAGCAATGACCAGAAACTGACTTGGACCAACTATATCAATACTGTTAGGATCTTGTGGTGCAATAGTAGTGCCCCTGCCTCCAGGCCAGAAGGCCAAGGTTCAAGTCCCACCTGCTCCAGAGATTAGTCTTGTCTGAACAAGTTGATTAAATAAAATCTACAATTATTGAAGGTAAAACCAAAGTTAGAGACTGGGATTTCTCCAGAAAGTAGATTACTCCTGACTCTGAGGCTTCCAACTGTCTACAAGTCACAAATCAAGAGTGTGATGGAATATTTTCCACTTCATGGACATCAATGCTCAAAAAGCATAACCCCATCAAGAACAAAGTGGCCAAATTGATTGGCAACCCATTCACCATCTTAAACGTTCACCTCTTAAGCACAATGGCAGCAATGTGTACTATCTACCAGAAGTTTTACAATTCCCTTTTTCCTCTCTAAACCCTGTCACAGTGGTTACTGTGTCAAACTTAGCCTGTTTAGATTTTTTTTTCTCCGACTGTATTTCAGAGACAGCAGCACAGAACTTTCGTGAAATCTGTTGAAATAGAAACAAGGGACAATGGCATTCATTTCGCTCATTGATCAATTGTGCTGTCAATCAAAAGAGCATGTTGAGCTTGGCTACGTACAGTTTTGTTTCTCTTATTGCAAAAATATACTTTATTCATTACAATGTTATCTAGTACATACAAAGGTCCTAAATCAGTTCTGTGTAGAAAACAAACAACATTTTGGAATTTGACATTCCTCAGAGACTCCCTGAAGTTTCAAAACAGAGGCATTTTCTACACATGCGGGAAGCTATTTACATTAATTTTGAGGCAATGAGAGGGTCTGGCAACGAAACAGAACCTTGTTGTACTTTGGTAGAAAACCTTAGATGGCAGTCTTTCCCCATTGCGCTTTGCAGTAGTTGTTCCAAGCTTTCGTGCATCCCTCAGCATGTAGTCCTGGTCTTTGGAATGTGCCAGTCTGCAATGTCCGGTCACTGGAAAATTAATAAGTTTCAAGCAGACCAAAGAACACCTTTGACTGAGTTGATGGTCTTCCAGGTGCAGTTGATGTTTGTCTCAGTGTGCATCCCAGGAAACAGCCCATAGGAAACAGAGTCCTGCATTTTATTTGAGTTTTGGTTTTACTTAAGAGAGGACATAATTGCATTAGAAGCAGTTGAGTAAGTTCACTTGACTAATTCCTGGGATGAGGGGTATAGTTTCATGACCTGATATTCCCAGAGAGGTACTGCACTACTAACCATGCCCCACTATTTCCAGAGTCGAAACAAATATGAAAATCTGGTGAACCCAACAAATGACCCAATTTTATCGAATTGCCCAATTCAAGTTAAAGGAATATGCATGTCAGGTCTTTTCTATTCACAAGAAAGTAACAATTTATTGGCATCAATTTTTTTGACCAATGGCAAGAAAGAGAAATGCGTGGCTAACCAATAATTCTACAACTTAAGCTGTATCCCTTTTTAAAATTCCGACACATATAAGAGACAAGGCACAACTATTATTGTTGGGGAAGGGAAGAAAAGATTCAAAGCAGCACAGTTCTGGGCACCAGTTCAGATTACTCACATCATTGAGTTGTTTTCTTTCAGATCCTTCACTTCCTCTTAGTTCTTTGCTGGTGAAATGAGGTTATTTATGTACTAATGTGGTCTTTCATTCACTGGCTGAGAATTTACCCCTTTCCAGTTTCTCTGAGGGTGGCTTGTGCCCTTTTTTGTTCCTACAAGAGGGTTTGCAAAGCTAGCAGTTTACAGGAAATGATTTGTGAAAACAGCTACCAGGAGATTTTCTGTTACTTCCCCACACAAGAAGGGGAGAGAGAGAGATTAATATCCTTTCTCTTTGCTCTCTGTATGTTTCTCTATTGTCCACATACAAGGCTACAGCCATTTGCTCAGGAACCAATCTGGAAGTTGTTACTATGTTGAGTATTCCTGAATCCACACCAACTAACTGGTCAATTGAAAAAGCAATCAAAAGATAGTCTCTGGGCAAAACTGCCCTGAACTCCTACTCAAAGTGTTAATATGTCTAGCATCCTCTCCCACTGCTTGAATAAGGCATTACTGTAGAATCAATTCTCAATGGGCTCCAGTAACTGTCTCTTAAAACTGCAACACCCTCTCCCACAGTTTCCTTGGTTCAAAGCTGTATCTTTTCCCATTTTAATCCACAAAACAAATTCAAACTTGTCTCCACCCTTAAGAGAGATGAAATGGTATTTCAAACATGTGTTTCATCAACAAGGTGTTTGATACATAGACAACAAGAAGTGAGATTTACATTCATTCATCCCATTCATTCCTTATACAAGTCTTATACAATCTTTTGTCATTTTTCTATTAAATCTGTAACTTATTCCATCATTTATACATTCCAAACAATGGGTCTGCCATCACTTTGTCGTTACCAACAACATGAACACCTTTACTTTGAATGGTTGATTCGGTCAATTCCATCTGAATAAACTCTCATTTTAGGTTTTTAAAATTTCAGTGAACACTAACATTATTATAGTCAATACAGATTAATGTTTCACCTGCTAGGTGTAGACTTCTAACTATCAAAAAGCCAT